CCCCAAAACCCCAAAACCCCAAAACCCCAAAACCCCTCTGTCTAAATTAGTAATTGGAGTTGATAAAATATAATGAATATGAACAACAACGAAAAATTGGCTGCTTCTAAAACTGGTGAGGAGGTACCACAGGGTAAGAACAGACGAATCAAGTGCTCGAAAAGACTCGATTCAGAGGATGGTTTCAATACCTTCCTAAGTCCAGCCATTACACTTAATACTTTGGCAAGTGATAGTCTAAAAGCCAACCTATGTAAGGAAAAGGGAAATGAAGTTGGTACAAGATCACGAAATGACTACTTTAATTTCACTCTCTTGCCTAAAGTCAACAGCTGTGCACTCGCATTGAATTCAGAGAATCGGAAGTTGCTTAGAAAGTCAAGTCCAAATCGGGACCTTGTACTCCAAGATAGGGGTGAACGAGCAAAGGCTAAGCAAAACTTGCCTGTAAAGCAGAAAAGTTCTCGGATAGTTAAGGAGAAAGAAGTCCCTCTGCGCTCTCCAAAACTACCTAAATTCCCTGAACTACCTCGGATGGGCAGGAAGATGAGTTACTCTACTGAATTCCGGACTCCAAACCCTAAGAAAAGAAAGTTGATTTTTCAACCTAGTTCAAGTGAGGTTGCCAAGAGAGGCACTCCTATACCATTTTCAAAGATTTTTCAAAGGAAAATCTCCTCTGGCCCTCGCTTTGCAAAGGAGTTTAAAGATTTACCTGCTGACTTGTAAGTCAAACAGAGTCTTTTGAACTTGAAATTTTTGAAAGCTTAATTTATTCCAAAAATTCGGTAAATTTTTAGAAAGTTTAGGCAAATTTTGGCATTTTATGAAGTGGTCCTTAAAGCATGAATCTGGCCACCTCAACAAAATTCTTTAAGAGGAGCTTACTTGATGCGGTGAGATAGCCTCTATAAATTTTCATCAAATATTTGTGTATTGCTTAGCCAAGCTAATCTTTTAAATAGATTTACAGAAATTGAAATTAACCTTCCGCTGAGGAAGCGAACCATGAGTGAATGCACCATTAGGTCGTGGTGACCACCCCCTCTGAACCTGTCAAGCAAGGATATCGTCCAAGCTCACATGAAGGAAGGGATAAAGAAGCCTGGTGAATGTGATGAAATGGATTCGATCGAGGAAAATTCTGAAGGATCTTCGCATCCTTCAGAATCCTTAGCCTCCATGGTTGGTCTAGTTCCTGATGATCTTTTCTAGGCTAAGGCTTTCCTGGCCTAACAACACCATGTAGGTCTCTAAATAAACCTTAATTTTATGCATAATTATCCAAAATATTGAGCTTCTTAGGGTAAAGTTAATTTTCTCAAAAAGTGTTCGAATCCAGTTCCCACGGAGTTTCCCAAACGGATTATTTAATTTTAATTTTAGGTTGTCCACCATGTAAACCCATTATGGGGTTTTGGGGTTTTGGGGTTTTGGGGTTTTGGGGTTTTGGGG